GTGGAGGAGAAGACTGGTTTATTCAAGAAATGGTATGAAAATAATCTTTTGGGAAACACAAAAAGCAACCAGCTAGATCCTTGTCTAATGATTAAAATTTTCAGAGGCTTCTAAGTTTTCAATATTTTTAAAATACAAAAAAAAAAACCCCGTCTTTTTGCATACATATATCATGAATTCAGACCTTCCTAAAACTCAGAAGCTAAGTCTACAGAAAAGTGGCTTATGCACCAAATAAATTCCTGGAGGCAAAGCAGGTGGTTCAAAAGAAATGTTTCCTTTTAATATGTCTTAAAAACGAATGCATAGTGTAAAGACATATGATTAACAATATAAAAAGTAAAAGAACAAAAAGATTTAGAGGAAAACAAATACAATGGTCAAGGCTGTTCAGAATTCACTGGCAATTAAGGAAAAGCAAATCAAATCAACAGTGTATTGACAATTTGTTGGTAATTAGCACGTAGTATTATTAACTGGATCATGCATTCTTCCTCACAATATATACTTTCATTGTCTTTTGGAAGAACATTTGGCAATTTTAAGTTTTTTTAACTGAATATGCCTCAATCATTTCATGAACAGAAAATAACCTTATGGATGAAATCATAGAAGCCTTTTAATATTAGGTCATGACAGCCATAAACTGAAACGTTAGCTGATACAGGTATTATCCATACAAAAGAATACTTTACAGCTGTTAAACATAACAATCTACATGTGTTGGTGAGGAAAATATTTGTACCATTGCAAAGATTTTATGAGCCAAAAATTTTTGTTTAATAGTTTTAACTGTTAATAAGATGTATTATGGAAAAGTAGAGAATGTAAATAGAACAAAAAAAAGCAGCAAATAGCAAAAAAGAATGGAAATGACTAAAGGGAGAAAATATACAAAAGGGTTTATTACTATCTTTTACACTAACTCTTCCTCAAAATTTGTTTGGAACCTTGCCCCCGCCCCCCTGCAAAAAGTAGTATGGTGGTACACATTTGTAAACTAGTACTTGCAATATGGAGGCAGAAGGATTGGGGGTTCAAGACCAATCTTCCCTACATGAGGTTTTACAACATAAAAGCAATGCTCATATCAGCTTCTAAATTTACATTAAAGAGATCGAGCCATATCCATTACACTCTGCCTCATCCTTGTCACTCATTTTGAAAACTACATAAAACATTAATTTTTTAGGACACAAGTACTGAAGTCTGCAAAGCACAATCTCATTGCACTTGTAAATAGGAATACATACACATATACACATAAATTTCTGTCTATGTGAAACATAAAAAAAGTTTAATTTTATGGACAAAAATTAAGCAAAGGCAGATTAGAGAGTAAAATCAAAATGCATTAATTTTCCAACAAGTATTACATCTCCTCATTCTTTTCAGAATTCTCCAATATTCAGAGTTCCATAGACTCAAAACATACACTTGAACCTGGACCACAGGAATCTCAAATTTAGGTTGTCCCAAAGTAAGTCAACAGCATCCTCCTTTCATCTGTTCATCTTGCTTTAATCATTGGGAATTACCTAAATTATTCAGCAGTGTTCCTCTTTCACTTAGAACCACCCAACTACTGAAACTAGAATTAGGGAGACATTCTTTTTTTGTGTGTATGTGGGTGGTGTTGGAAATCAAACCCAGGGCCTTGAGCAAGCCTCTATTTGCTAGATGACAGTGGCATTCCTATTACCTGTGACAACCAAAAATGCATGTAGACAAAGCCAAATGGAGGAGAAAATCAGCCTCAGTTAAGAACCACTCCACTAGGATGGGGAGATGGCTCAGTTGGGTTAAGTGCTTGCCATGCAAGCATCAAGACCCGGGTTCATTCAAACTCCCAGAACCCATGTAAAAAAGCCAGATGCAGTGGCACATGCCTGCAACCCCAGTATGGGGAGAGAGAACAACTGCTGGGACTTGCTACCTAGCCATTCTAACAGAATTGGGAAGTTCTAGGTTGAGAGACCCTGTTTCAAAAAGGTAGAAAGCAACAGAGGAAGACACCTGATGTTGACTTGCCAAGGGCACATGCACACACACCCACACACACAGCATTTTAAAACAAAGGAACAAGTCCACTAACTTGCGGGAGTTCAGTTTCTTACATACACATAAAATATCTCAGGAAAGAAACCATCTAAAGATGAATTGCAGCACTGGTCACCTTTAAGAAAGGCAGCAAGATTACTAAGGTAACTAGGCAACTAGAGTAGCGGGGAAAAGGCCTTCTTAGCATGCTCACCCTCACTGTGTGCAGCCTCTACACTGCCTACCCTGTCTGAACTGCCTTTCTCTTTTAATTACTGCACTAGTCTTCAGCCAGCATTTCTCTTACTTCAACCTTTCTTCCTTCAGTCCATTTTTTTCAAGTAAGCCAATGTGATGCTATCACCTGAAATCTGATCTTGTCACCCATTTTCTCAAAAGCCTCTACTATCTTCCTAACCTCATTTTAAAAGCCCAAAACCTTAAAATGACCTTTGTATGATCTATCTTGCTATTCTACACACTTTCTAATCTCTCCTTGTATTTAGTGGTTTTGGAGACCAAAATGTAGAAACAGCAATTTCATAGGATTGAAGCTGATACTTTTTTAACTTTGGACTTGTTGCTTTGTTCCTTAAACACACCAGGGACTTTGCACTTGCTGTTCTCTGCTGCAAACGTGCCTCACTCAGACACTCTTACATCTCACTCTCCAGTGCTGCAGGTCTTTACCTCACAAGGCTCTTTCTTCCCCAGGCATCCTACCGGTACCTCTAGCACCTATTAACGTGCAGTAACTTCTTAAACTTGTCCTCTTCTTTACTGTCTTTCTTTTCCATCTTGATCAGTCAGTCTATCCGGAAGGCTAGTTACAAGTTTCCAAATCAAGAGATCTGCAGTGGCGTATGAAAATTTGCATTTCTAACAAGTTCCTCAGTGATGGTGTGGGTCCAGGGACCACATTTTTAGAACCAGTTTCAGATTCACACAGGGAAAATGTCATGTGTTAACAGAGGCAGAGGTGGAGTGATATAAAAGAAAGCCAAGGGGAGCCAGTGACACAAACGCTAAGAGTCACAGAGCAGGGTCTCCTCAAGAACCCTGACAGCACAGTCCTGCCAACATTTAAAAGGCCCAGTTTGTGGTCCTTTGCTTTGGCACCCTTAGGAAACCAATACAACAAACAAAAATGCAAATGACTACATCAAGCTGTCTATAATTTCAAATTCTATAGTTTAAATGTGCTTTAGAATACAGCTTTCATTGTAAAATAATCAGGTTTCCTAACTCAAAATCTCCCCAATACTGTCTGTCCATACCTTCAATGCAGTTCACACGAGGTAATTTGTTTGAATTTTCTTTTTGGTTTCTCCCATCTTCTAAGGGTTAGCAAAGAGCAGCTTCTTATTTTCACACATAGCAGACTTTGGCATATAGCCGTGTTCCCTGTCCCCTGGGACATTTGAATTAGGTGCAAAATGAGCATTTAAGTTTATACTGATGTTCCTTTCTTACCAGATTCATAGATAAAATGCTAACTTCACATTTTATGGAACACGTTTCCTTTGTCTTTCTTCATTTGAAAGAATAAAAGTATAAAGACATGTTATGAAAATACTCATGTATCCCATTACTTTGTATGTTAGCTTAAATTTTTCCTTTTTTTTGGGGGGGGGGTCTTTTCGAGACAGATTCTCCCTGCAGCCCCAGCTGTCCTGGAACTCACTATGTAGACCAGGCTGCCCTTGAACTCACAGAGCTCCGTCTGCCTCTGCCTCCCGAGTACTGGGATTAAAGGTGTGTGCCACCATGCCTGGCTAGTTAGCTTAAAATTTTAATGTTTTAGCATGGACTATAAAGTCAAGCTATATAGCACAAATTCCATGTTAGCACAATCAATATATAAACAGCACAGAGTCAATAATATGCCTAGTGAAACACTTTTGCTTATGATTAAGCAAACATTAACTCATTATATGTTCTCCTAATTACACTGATTCCAAAAATCTCTGAATACTAAACTTATTCGGATATATAGGCTAGTATATATTTTTTTAAAGCAAGAGTGGGAAAAAACCCTTAAGTGTGCAGTAACCACAAAATATTTATAAAATGCTGAGTCCTAAGTAAAAAGATACAGGAAAACAAATTCTAAACAAATCCGAGATACCTAATAGCTCTCTAGTAGTGCTGAATTTTAAATGTGTCACACTTGCCTTACTAAATCATTGTTTTACTTAACATATGGTGAAAAGTTAACTGGTAACTTGAAACTTCATATTCATTGAAACTGTACACACACACACACACACACATATATATATCCAGGCTGGCGAAAATAAAGCGAGAACAAATCATGATATACAATAGTTAAGAGCACACGGTGTCATGTACATAGGCTCATTTGACATTTATCTGATAAGGAACTGGAACGCTGTCATCAAATACCTTCTAGAAAACTCAGATTCCCAATTTCCAAACTTATAGCAGAATTAAACAACTTGAAATATTCATACCACAGTTTTTTTCTTGGCATCCAGGCAGAGCTATCTAGCGTCTACGCTCAACTTTCAGTAAGTTACCACCTTTCTGTCCCTTACACACTGCCTAATTACTCACTCTGATGCATTAAAGTTTTAACTTTGTAACTTTTTAATTCATAGTAAGTTTTTAATCTTTATATACTAAAAGGCAATATCGTGGCACCTTCAATGAATACAGAAAGCTAGATTAGCAATTAGTTTTTTACAGAAGGTGAAGTGTTTCTTTAAAGAAAGATATTCCTGCCATTTGTTTTGAAAAACTGAGGGGAGGGAGGGAAAGGAGGCTAAAAAAAACAATTAATCCCCGTCCCTAAATTACAGTCATTTTAAGAGTACAGAATTTATCTAAATTCAAAGCGGTGTGGATAATCCGTTGCCAGCATCTAGTAACCCCATCACTGTTAGGAGAGGAAAAAATTAATTTAAAAAAAGCTTTTCCGCGAAAGTGCCCCCACACACCTGGCTTGCTCCCTCAGTCAACCGCCAAGAAACTTATCAAGCGGGCTCCAGACCAACCTGCGGGGCCGCCAGTTGCAGGCTCTCCGGCGGGCTCGCCCAGGCCGAGGAAGGAGCCCGCACCTGAGTGCCGGGTCCAGGAGTGCTGGAACGGGTGGGGCGGCGGCCAGGACCGCTAGGCGCTGACCCGCCCCGGTGCCTCCCGCCCCGCGGCGCGCGAGGCTGAGAACAGCGGCGTGAGGGCGGCCGCACGCCGGCCGGAGAGCCGGGAGAACCCGCGGCCGCCGCAAACACCTGTTTGGCCGCGCCAGGCAGCCGGTCCGCGCTCCCGGTCCCCTCACGCGCCCCGTCGCCGGCAGCCGAGCCCCGGGACCAGCAGCCCGAGGGCGCCTCCGCCGGCCGTACCTAACACCGGCTGCGGCTCCCTCTCGCCCCTTCCGGGGGGCGGAGAGGGGGACGACCCGCGACCTCCGCTGCACTGGCCGGCCGCAGCACCGGCTGGCGCCGCTAGCCGGGGCAGCCCACTGCCGCCCAGATCCTCCCCCGGCGGCGGCCGAGACGGGCCCGGCGCGCGCTCCCGCCGCTCGCTCCCGCCGCTTGCTCCTCCCTTCCCCGTAGCGCGGCCCGCCTGCCGCGCAACCGCCACCTACAGGTCTCGGAGCACTGACGTCGCCGCCGCTGCACCAGCCCCCGGGAAGGGCGGGGTCGGGAGGCGTGGGCGGGGACTCGGCGACGTACGGGCACGGGGATTGGCCGCCAGGCGTTCGCTCCGCCCTCCTGCGAGGGGGGTGCTGGGAAGTCCGCACTTCCTAGAGCTACGGGTTCCATTTCAGCTCTCTTGAGGAGTGTCTCGTTGGTGTCCGCCTTGGGAGCGGCTAACCTAGCTTCTGGTCTTAGGGAGGAAAGCGGGGAAATGGCTGAGGGTAGAGGCGCCTTAAGGACCAGTGTCTGAAGGACAAATCTATATGCACTGACCTCTAACCCTAGATTTACCCGTTCATTTTTCCTTTCTCTTGTTCACTCACTTCACTGTACTATGCATCTCTGTCCTTAATGACTGTAAATGTGGCATAATGAAATATTCAAAAGGGTGCTGCGTAACCAGATGTGTGCACCAGAAAGAAGGGTTAACCCGGATGGTGATAATGGAAAGCCTTTTTAGGAACACATATGTCCTGCAAAGCCTAGCACATCAGGACTTTGCAGAACTCATCTGCCTTTTGGCAAAAAGAGCTGTGAACCAGGAAGCTGTCTTTGGAATAAAGGAAGTGGACTGCCACCTGTTGAGGAGGAAGTGGGAGTGACGTCTAGAGACTTTACTTGCCTTAGCCATCATTTCTACAAGGCCAGGCCTCAGGAGGGAAAAGCTGTGCCCAGCTTGCTGGAATGCTCTCCTAGGGCAGTTATATAGCACACCACTACATAGCTCCTGTTAAGAATGAAATTAGACAGCTTGTGCTGTGCCTTAAAGCCATTTTTCTGTTACTAATAGCAATATACTACAAATGGCTAAGTTCTAAAGAACGGATATATTTTGGCCACGATTCTGAACAAAGATCAAGGGGTTCCATCCGGTAAAAACCTATTTGCTTGCAGAAACCCGAAGTGAAGCAGGATATCATGACAGAAACAGGAAGCTTATAAGAGATCTAGCCAAACTGGCTTTTATAGTAGTCTCTGAATAACTCATTTGCTCATTAATCCCTTAGTCACATGAGTAGATTAAACCATTCACAAGGGCAGAGCCCTGATCAATACCTGATAGTTTTATTTAGCCTCACCTCTTAATACATAATAATAGGAATTAAATTTGAACTTGAGTCTTGGAGGGGACAAGTCACGTTTAAAGCATAATAGACTGGAATCTTGGTGATGACCTGTTACTTTAGCAAGTTACTGAACCACATGTCTGACAGGAATGATGAACAATGTGTGTTGGTTATTGTTATTTTGCCTTAGGTTTGTTGTTGTTTTTAATTTGCTTAGGTTCAGCTTTTGTACAGATTGTCAGGATATATTATCAAAAGATTCAAAAATATCTCCCAAAAGACATTTCAAACTTAAAGCACAACTAGCTGTGAGCAAAAAGATAAAGTGGGAAGAAGGGCAGGTATCCTGACCTCGAGGGAAGTGTGCTTTCTCTGCTCTCTGACTCTCAGGCTTCTCCAGACATCTTTATTTCCATCCTTCTCATTTCCTCAACTCTTTCAACTCTTGCCCAGCCTCAACAACGCCCCACCCCCTCCAGTTTTCCTCAGTATCCTTCAACCTGTTGTAAATGGAAAGTAAATCCACCTGGAAGTGGATTCCTTTCAGATTCCTTTTGTCAATTATACTGAACGTTGTAATGACTAGGGGATAACATTTTTCTCAACAAAGGTAAGAAACCCTCTCAAGGATAAGTTCAGCTAGAGCCATATCTGGGAAAATTACAGGCAAAAAGGATTGTTGATAGAAACAATATTGGATCAAATCACTACTCCCTTCCTTAGTGTTTTTGAAAATAGCCTTTGTTTTATGAAAACAATACATGCTTATTCAAGCAAATTTTTAAAAATGCAAACAAATTCAAATGAAAAAGCAAAGGGTTATAAATTGCAAAAAATCTCATAATCTAGAGCTAATAATTTTTTAAATTCTGTCATATTCCTCTAGACATTTCTCTTAAAACACACACACACACACACACACACACACGATAGTTTACAAATTACTTATTGATGTAGAATTTTTTTCTCATGCAAAGTTATCTGTAACTGATATATTTCCTTATGCATGTGTCTTTGCACAGTTGTGTAATCATCTTCTTGGACATGTTCTTGTAAATGACGTTCATGCCAGCCAATTTTTCAGTGTTACCAGCTAGAAAAAAAAAGTAATGGTTACTTTTGAAAATATACTTTATATTTGGACTCAAAACTGCTTGGATTCCCTCATTTGAAACACAGATAAACTTCAGCCAGTATTGCCTGTTTTGTGTTTAATGTCTCAATGTCAAACCTCTTGGATGGGGAATATATCTGTGTCAAAGCTCCCTGGAACAGGTAGACAAATATTTCTAGTTGTCTAAACCAATATCGTTCTTATTTTTCTAACAAAAAACTATGTTGTTGTTTTGAGGGCACCATTGTATCCAGTTAATTTTTTTCCTTCCTGAGACTTTTGTATGTCTGGCCACGTGCTCATCAATGAAAGTCAGTCTCTAGGAGATACATAAGAAAAGTTTTATGGAAGAAATGTCCTTTTAGGGATTTGACCTACATGTCTCCCTTTCATTACCAGGAACAGGGATGTTGTGATGGTTAATTTTGATTGTCGACTTGATTGGATCAAGGAACACCTAGGGGATTACTGGAGCACAACCCTGGGTGCATCTATGAAGATATTTCCATAGGCAATGATAGCATGATGGTTTTGATCCCTTAATAGATTCATAATATTATGGCATTATGGGGGTGAAAAGTAGGAGGTGAGACCTTTGAAGGAAATATATCACTTGGGGTGTGTTTTTAGGACTATAACGTACCCTGATTCCACACATGCTCCTGCCATATAAATGCAGCAGGCCACACCATCATGAACTAAACCCTCTAATACCATGTACCAAAGTAAATATTTGTTCCTTTAAGTTGTTTCTGTCATGTATTTTGTCACACTAACAAGAAAATTAACTATTACAGACATAATACAAAGGCAGAGGAACCATATTTCCACCGTAATAATAAAAGCCACAGGCCCTATTAATAGTGTAGGCAGCCAGAGGGGCTTGAGTTCTTCACTGCTTTGGAGGGCCAGCTTTATAGCCCTGGACTGCCTCCTTGTGTATTGATGTTACATAAGGAAAATGAGTCTCTCTTCTATAAGGTTTTGTTATTTGGGTTTATGTTATAAACACTGAATGCAATTCCTAATTGATACAATAAGATCAGTCATCATTTATTCATCACTATATAGAGAACTTCTTCATAGACATGTGGGATAACTTGTTATGCAACAATAAATACATAAGAGCTGGGATAAAACTGCCCAGCACAATGCCTAGCATATAAGTTAGGGTTTAATTATTTGTTGTTGAATGAATAAACAATGGAATGATGTAAGGTATGTCTGTTTTTCTGTAATTGGTTAAAACAATGTTGGTATTATCTATAAGCCCTTACACCTATGTTAAATAAGATTTTTTATACTGTATTAGAAATCATTTGTGAATCTTGCTGAGATCAGATGTTGACAGTCTTGGATATAGCATTGGATATAACATAAATAGAACTTAAAATCTTTGAAACTTAAATTCTACCCCTTATTACTTGTGTCATCTAACCCTTCTAAATCTCAGTTTCTTCATTCATTCATCTCAGTTTGTCTCAAAGACAGATTCATGTACATTTGTAAAATATTACTGCCAGGCGTGGTGGTGCTCACCTTTAATCCCAGCACTTGGGAGGCAGAGGCAAGCAGATCTCTGTGAGTTCAAGGCAAGCCTGTTCTACATAGTGAGTTCCAGGACAGCTGGGGCTACAGGGAGACCCTGTCTCCCAAAGACACACACACACACACACACACACACACACACACATATATATATATGGTTACCATTCATATAGCAAGCAGGTTTGATTTAAATGTGTGGCAGGATGATAGCTAATTATTTGGCAGACCTTATTTTATTAGCCTGTTGAAAAATTATTATGCTTTTAAAAGAATGGATAATTGGGGCTGGAGAGATTGCTCAGCAGTTAAGAGCACTGACTGCTCTTGCAGAGGACCCAGGTTCAGTTCCCAGCACCCACACGGCAGCTAACAATCATCTGTAACTCCAGTTGCAGGGGAATCTGATGACCACTTCTGACTTCCATGGGCATTGCACAGCATGAGTGCACTTACATACATGCAGGTAATACACTCAATACACATAAACTAAAAATAATAAAATAAGGCTGGAGAGATGACTCAGCAGTTAAAAGCACTGGCTACTCTTGAAGAGGACCCAGGTTCCGTTCCCAACACCCACATAGTGGCTGACAACTGTCTGTAACTCCAGTTCTAGGGGATCTGACACCCTGTTCTTTCCTCTTCAGACACTGCATGACACAGGTACACTTATATACATGCAGGTATAATACTCATACAAATAAAAAAAATTTTTAATTAAAAAATAATAAAATAAAATATTAGAAAAAGAATGCATAAAATGTTTTAAAGTGAGTTATTAGAGTAGTTATAAACATTTAACTTGTAACTTATTTGAGTCAAAGGTTCTTTCTACAACAAAATTGCACCCAACAGCCAGAAAATAAATAGTAGAGTATGTATCTTTTGCTTTCAGAGAGGAGGAGTTACAGTACACAGGGGTAGAGGTGATGCAATTATTGTTCAGTTCTGTGGTATTGAAACAGTATGACAGAGACCATAAAACAGTGGACCCTACAGAGTTAGCATTTCCCCAAGAATCCCATGCTGGGAGAGGGGAAGGCAAAATCCCTGTCAACAGAGAAGGAACTTGCCTCCTAGAAAGAGATCTCACACAGTTTAACAGCTTATCTTACAGATAAATCAATATATTTCTGGGTTTTGTTTCATCTTTTCTATAAAATTATAACTCTGCTATGGGAAAGGTGGAAAGAATCTAAGAACTT